TAGTTAATTTCATGCAAGATCATATTGCGGGCAAAGTTTGATGCATGTATTTCAGTTGATATAGATTTGCTAGTCGTCATTAGCACTGTCGGCTTTTTTTCTCAAATGTAGAGGTTTTAGCAGTTTTTATGAATTCACATCAAAAAACAGGTACCACCGGTGCAAGTAACTCGGTTTTTCTCTTACATGCGTTAGCTTTCCCACAGTCTTTATAATTTCAAAGCAGCGGATTAGGGAGGATAATTTTATGGAAACTTTCGTCAAGTTCCACGATATATTCTATGACAGGAGGATTATTTCATCCGCAAAAGTAGCAGTTTACAATTCGGCTGTCCTACCAGCCATGTTATATGGGTGTGAGACGTAGAATAACACGTTTGCTAAAGAGCGGAGTGTTGAAGTAAACATCAAATTACGCATTTAAGAGGTCGGTAGTACAGAGAGTTTTTCTTCTTTCATTATTCCCAATTCACTGGAGTGTGTCTTGCTGATCATCGGTAGATGATTTCTCCTACAAAAACCAACAACTTCATTTATATGAAAAATTCTGAGAACAAACCTCAGTTGCCTGTTTGTCAGGTGTTAACTTCTTGGGCAACTGTGTGCGGGAATATTCAATAACTACCGGCATCATGTACACGTTGATGGCACTCGACATAGCATCTGAATTTGGGTTGAAATTCCGCAAATCTATGGAATTTCTACTGACGCTAATTCTAAGTTTCCGCTTCACGTTACTGTCATAATCGCGCACTGGAAGCGATTCCGTGGTGTACGACCTGAAATATCCTAGTTCTAAAATTAAAATAAAAAAAAAACACACAACAGTAACGGGCTTCTCAATTTCAGTTATACCTCCTCAACTCTTCCTAATTCTCCTAAAGGAGCATGTGCAGACGGGCCGTTTGGGCCCTGTGGGCGAATAGAATTTGGGAAATGTGGGGCTGAACCGGTACTGGGTGGCACAACTAGGGCGTGCATAAGACGATGTATTATTACTGCTAAAGCTAATTTCCGCGTGCCTCCGTCTCCCACTGAAAGTAAGTGCGGAAAGCCACTAGACTTTTGGCCGGAGATTTGTTCTATGCCGCGATAATGAATATTGTTATAAAGCTCTGCAACTGTACGGTTTTCCAAATTTTAATGCACAAGTTTTCAAACCCCCAAGCATTTGCGTTTTTGTAAAAATTACTGACAGCGATGACTGCATCCCGATAGCCTCATCAACCGCAGCAATTCGCGATGATATCAGAAAAATGCCTTGAACTTACTTGAATCTATCCAAAATGACCTGAGGATGGTCATGTTCCATGAGATAGAACTCGGATACAATTTCCAGTGCCGTAACCAAGCCAACGCCCGGGATTCCTTTTTGAGCACAATCGCATCCCATCATTATCGTCATCGCGATAAGGCAAGATCTGGAACACCAGTTCCCCATTTATACATAACATTTCGTGCTTGTTCCCACTGTGACGGTGGACATGGCGTGGCAGAAAGTAGCATTATTCTCATACAAAGGTCGAGAGTTTGACTCTACCAGGGGGTAACCAGTGACTTTTTCAATCGATTCTACGGCAAATTGATACCAGAGCATGCCAGTGAGTCAAATCCGCCGTCAGCTTGTTTCTAAGCAACTCTCGAAAGAAGAGGCCAAAGAAAGCCTTGCCAAAAGATGCTGTTATTGGCATTTGCTACCATTCAGGCTACTTTCCAAGAAGAGTCAATAAGACGCAGAATTTGAAATAACGATTCAGAGAGAGCTTCTAATGAAATTTCGTTTCATGCCAAAAGTGGTGTACAAATGGTTTACCTGCTTAGGCACAACTTTTCATCCAAATAGTCCATTGAAAGATGAAGAATATCGTTTTGTACCTTGCCACCAAAACCAAATTCAACCTCAAATCAATTTACACGGTCCATATGCAGAAAAAATAAAACTATTTTTCGCAACACGTCATATGAATTAAAAAAGAACACATGCCCTGTTCGACTTACAGGGAAACATCTGGCAACTTCTTTCAGC